GTCGATTAGATTCCAGTATTCCGGAACGATTTAGATTTCAAGCAACTTGAATAGTTGAATATACCCCTCCCCCCAAAAAAAAATAGAAGAACAAGAACACAGACAGGACACCACAGACCCTGAAATCTGTTCCGGAAATAGGCTGACCCCCCCCCCCCCCCCCCCCCCCCCCCCCCCCCCCCCCCACCTCCGACAAGTAGCCACAGACAACTACCCCTGTCAGGAAAGAAAAACATTCCCAATACTGTCCAAAAATGGTTAATCACATCGCCTCCCCCACACTTCTTGATAAAATGCTATCCCTATCCTATTAAAATTGTTACCATTAAAAAAACGAACTCATTATGTATTAGGGTCATTCGTAAGCCTAAATAGTTGTCATAATAACAAAAAAACCCATAATATAGTGATTAGAGTCATTCGTAACCCTGATATATAATTTCCATTACAAAAACAACCTTTGTACACCTGTCAAAATCATGATTATGTAATCATGAACCTACTCCATGATGTAATCATCGGGATCCTTCAAATGACATGGAAACAGTCAGGTAACTTCCACTCCATTTCATTTCAGACATTAGTAGCTATATGGTAAAACAACAACAACAGAAGAACATTATGATGCATTGAACTCGATTAAATTTCAGACTTTTAAATTTTTCACCCGCGAAATTAATGGAGGTAAAACAGCTTTAAAAATCAACTCTAAAGGAATTGAAGGCAGCACTTTATCCTCAAGATTACTGAACCAACTAAGAAGATTGAATATTTTCTTGGGGGAAAAAGAATCGGTGGTACACATTGACGTAGCAAGGGGTATCAAGGGGGCAATGCCATCCCCGTTCATAAACTTCATTCGCTAAAAAAAAAAAAAAAAAAGAAGGGGGGGGGGGGCGGTATTTGTGTGTGGACCTATATGTGACTGTGACGTTGTATCCCATTGAAAACCATGATGTCAAGGTTTTACCCAGTGTCGACATACTAGAATGTGCGGGGCTATTTCTTTTGTTGGAAAATTTCGGATAACCTGCCAGTCACTAATTTGGTCCCCTTCTTCTTTCCTTCTTCTATTGTACGGACATTCATTCCATCGATGGTGTCTGTTCGTACTGCTGCTCAACAGCGGGTTTTAAAAAGGGCTACATGTGTTATACTAAGCTGTGTGCACGTAAAAATGCCAGGTCAAACTATGGTCAAACAAAGCCCCTCCCTTTATAATGTTCTAGCGCCGTCCTTGGTAACATACAGATCATGTTCAACCATTCAAGATCGCATCACTGGTATATTTCAGGGGCGCAAAAAACACAGCGCCCCTCCCTCACCGGCATTATCTATAAGCATGATAAGTATACACCGAAAGCAAAAATGTGCCCCTTATTGTGTTTTTAAAAACACCCTTCTCTTTAGCACTAAAAAGGGCATCTGAAAATGTAATGAATCCTTTCTTCTTTTGACAACTTTCGGAATTGCCCCCCCCCCCTTCAAAAACTTCCTGGATCGGCCTCTGGATAGGATGGTGGAAGGGTCTTAAGGTCTACCACATAGGTCAGACTGGTAACATGATCTCAAGCGATGTATCATCTATACTAACATCGGGTTTCATCCAAGACAGACTACTACAGACAGGTCAGACTGGTAATATAATCAATCTCAGTGGTGTAGCTTTGGGGAACACGGGGGACGTGCCCCCTAATCTGCTGAAAATGAAATGAAATCATGAAAGAGAAAATGAGAGAAAAGGTTTACGGGGAAAGGGAACAAAAATGTCTACGCCCACTCCCACGCTATGCCATTGATTCGTATTTCACCCACCGATTAAGTCCGTGCCCCCGCAGATGTGACCCGCCCCTCATTATGATACCGGTGCCCCCATCAATGTCTGGAACCCTGCTATACTAGTAATTGATACCATTATACCACCCATCTACTCCGTCCTCGGGTGGACTATTCGTAACTCTCGAGGTAGAAAGTTAAAACAAATTAATGCTGTACACCAAATTAACATTCTTAGTTCGAACAGGGACTGTCCCTGGTTCGAATTAAACGCTTGCCCTTCTAAGGAGTTTATATTGAAATCTTAACAATGCGATTCCTTTCCTAGAGTAATAAATGTTTGTCATGTCAGTGGTACGCAGCTACCGGAGTGTACGTGTCCCTCTCAAAGGGGCGGATCCAGCGGAGGCGAGGGAGGGGCCCAATTCGTGAGAAAATATTAGCGGCGACTCAGCCAGCAGGCCGAATAAGCAGGGGGGGGGGGGGGGGGGGGGGGAGTGGATTTTTAAATTTAGCTCAACGGGGGTCGGAGGTGGATTTTTTTTCTTACTAGGGAGGGGCCTGGCTCCCTCCGTCTTGGATCCGTCCCTGCCCTGTCCCCCTTCATCCTAATGGAGAAGGGGGGGGGGGGGTCGCTCTACAGATTAAAGTAGACTTTCGAAAAATCAACATAACTTGTCATCAGGCAATTTCAACAGCCGTGCTATCGCCTGTACTGAAATGTGTGAACATTATTACAAGATATAACCCGAGAACGATGTCTATTGGAATCCCATTGATACACCTCGGTGCTTTACTTTGGTACAGTTTACAATTCAGTGAATAGCAGTGCGTGGGACATTCCATGAAGCATATTATATGAGATCTTGTTCAGCAAAAAAAAAAACAAAAATAAGGGAAAAATGAGCTCCATACGACCAATGATGAAATAAATAACTGAAACACAAGTTTTTAGCTTGCCTTTTCAAGGTCAGGTTACAGAAACAACAGTACACTAAGAAAATATACACATGTCCAGTAAAATGTTGTCAAATTCATTGATGAATTTGAATTAAAAAAAACACATTTTGAATATTTGAAAGCCATTCATACTATAAACAGATTTTATAAAACAATTTTTCTATGAACAAACTCATTTAGGCCTTCAAAAACATATGTCACTCTACATATGGCAAATTCGCAGATAAAGAATTTTCAATTAATCTCTGTTAATAAATATAAAAGTCAGGGCTTGTAAAATTTCATTCTACTTCGGACCGAGCCTTGTTGCTTTTATTATTCTTCCTTCTTGCACAAAATGTATATAGTTCAGTTTTCTGCATCGAAAGACATATCGGAGGCCCCCAAATATCTACCTAATCAGATGGATTCATACAATGTACAGAAAGTACAGGATTTTTAGAATCTATACACACGTCTTCCATTTAATTTCTCCCATTATTTCTCATTCTGGGGCGTTTTAACTAGTAATTCTTGACAAAGTTCAAATGTCACATGAACTCTCCTTTTTGCCTAAGTAGAGCAGTACCAGTTTTATTTATTTTGTAAGCTTCTTGACTTGAGGTAGCACATTTTTATCAAATAATGATGCCTTCTGAAAAATATCATATTTTACAAGCAATAAATATCAAGCAATAACAATATAAAATGATAAATGCACAAACAAAGGAAACCGGAAAAGGCAATAATTTGTATTCATCATAATTTATTCCTAAATAACTAGAAATACAAGGTAAACAATATATCCATTGTTCTGGCTTAGAGCAAGGAAATAGCTTTATTCTAAATGAAGAAAGCACTTCCCAATTGCTTTGGTGTTTTCCTTTTATTTCCTGATTCTTTGACTGACTTAAGGCATAAATAGTCAGTTTTTACTGAATTGCCTTAAAACATAATCTAACAACAACAACAACAAATGATAGACTTAACCTCTTTAATACCACTTGAAAAGTCCTCATAAAAGTTCAGCGATTCAAGTTTAATCGTTGATATCTCACGTTACTTTAATGTTTATCATATTGTTGTTGGTGTCATTGAAAAGCCTGTTTATTTCAAGGACTGTGTAATACACCTGAATAAGGGTTTAAGTAAAGAGAAATGTTGCAAAATGCATTGTTAATCCTTCACAACACAATTCCTGAATAACTTACTATTGACAAGAACAAAATCAAACAAAAAAACACCATGATGTGAATGAAGATATTTCTTTATTATGAACCATTCCAAAAAAAAAACATGCCTTAAAGTTCAACATGTCTTGAAAGAAAGTGCACCGTATAATATCATTTAAACATGTACAAGTATGCCTTGCTTATCAGCAAAAAAATCTCAAATATAAATTCTAGGAAATGCTTGATTTTGTCATATGCACAATCTTTACACACCAGATATCCCAAATTATATCAACTCTCATATTTGCAGCATGTTAACATCCTCAATTCCCAATTTCCTACGTCATAACACACTTGTACAAACCGAACCTTGAATCCAAACGTAAATACATACCATTAAACTGAACCAGTGTGATGTCCCTGTATGTAAATTGACATAAATCAGTATGCAGGTCTAGTGTAAACATATAACCCTTTCAATTTCTGTCATCCATAGGCAAATATGCTTCGATTGCAGATGCATCATTCCGATAAGTTGACAATAGTCCTCATTTTTTTGTTTGTGTTTATCTTTCAGCCCATTTTTCAGCCCATCTTTCAACTCCATTCCACTTAAATGCTTGACTGCTTCTTCACATTCATTTCTACTGAATACAACCAGCAATAATAATGATCGTATTTTGTGTACATATCAAAAAATATATTTGGATATATCCAACTCAATATTTGATAGACATAGCGCAAGTGCTAGACATAAACTCTGTATTTTCACTTCCACATATAAATATACATATTGTTAAAAAGCGATTTTCTTAGTGTGAGAGTACAACCAAAAAAAAAAGCATTTTAAAAGACCTTGATACCAAAGGGGTCGGATCTTGGATCTTGGATTCATTTTCTCCTAAATACCCTGAAGAAGAATTTGACTGGAGGTGGATGTACTGGGCTAGCTAATTAAAATCCAGGGTCCATATTCATAAATCCTTCATGAGCTAGTTGTCAATTGATTACCAAGGCTATATAGTACATAGCTAGTTGACAACTACCGGTAGGCGTAGAAAGGTTTTATGAATATGAGCCCAGAACCCTGTTTAAAAATAACAGTTTTCTATAACAACTATCATGGATCTATGACCAAACTGCTCATAGCCAATCATATGTGAGGATATCAGTTGTTTATCACTGTAATTTTTGTGCGTTGTTTAATTCATTTGTAACAATTTTCATGAACAGGCCCCAGACTAGTCCAGAATCTGGCCTATTTAAATCTCCACCACAGTGACCACACAACGCAATATGCGACCTTTCTCCTACTTACTTGCTACCAGCCGGCGATGGCTTGATTCATTGTTAAATTAGGCCAAACTTGCAGGACTTGTACAGGTACACACAGCTCCCCCCCCCCCCCCCACACCCCCACACACAAATACAAATGTAAGAATCTGCCAAGATGCCCAACATATCAAAATGTCAATACGGTATTGGTACATATAGACCCTCACTATTTGTTTTGGACCCCTGCCATAAGTCTTGCCACTATCAACATCGTGGTTCACCAAATGTTATCAATTTGAAGAGCACTTACATACATGCATGTGGTGTAAATGACAAAATAATTGATATTGTATATATTACATATTCACATGTCATCAAACTAGATGTTCTCCACAAAACAGTGTGACAGATTGCCTTTTATTATTCTACATGATAATGACAACCCTGTATCTATAGGTTAAAGAGCTTGTTATAGGAGCATCTGTCTTTAAAATGAGCTATCGTCACTAACGACCTATCATCACTAACGACCCTTTGAATAAAGTTACTGGACCATCACAGGCTTCATCAATCTCAATCATGTTCTTAAATGAATTAGGAAAAGTGATAGACTCTTTAATATTACCCTGCTCTAAAGAACTTTCGGTCCAGATCATAGAAGATGAGAAGAATAAATTAATCTCACTCATGTTTCTACATAAATCAGGGAAATGATAGTCCCTTGACTATTCCCCTCTACTACTTCTACTACCTGGTATACAATTTGCGGGGGGGGGGGGGGGGGGGTGGGAGTTGGCAAACAAACACAAATTTGAGCCCACTTTTTTCTAGTATATATCGCATGACAGGTTGGGTTTTATATTGTGTCTTGGATCAACCAATGTGCATTTACAAGTTGGTTTCTATAAAAAAAAAAAAAATATATGGTATCTTAAAGATTACAAGAAAACATAACAACACACCAATACTAGACTGAAAAATATGTCTGCTGGGAGGAGTTTAAAAAAAAAGTTTTGTCTTTTGAAACTCCTCCATGGAATTCAGGGAAGCCAGATGTAGTCCCAGACGAAATAGACTGATTTTTTGGTCTACACCTATACATGATCCATTAAAGGTTTTTCCACCATCAGGTCCTTGAAACTTCCCCAGGAGTATGTTCACATATGTCTTCACACGCACAGAGAATACAAAGACAATATATCTTATTACAGTCAGCAGAAATAGAATGGACGAGATCCATTCACAGGGTTAACAGCGATGGCAGGAACCGACATCTCTGATCTGCATAAAAGAAAAAGAAAAAGAAAATACAGCAATGAGATGATAATTGCGAAAAGTCGTCTTACTAGAAAAAAAAAAAAAATTTAAGATTTATATAGCGCTGGTATACAAGTACAGTTTCTAAGCGCTTTACAAAACAAATGAAATGAAAAGTACGGATAAACTAAATCGGCCTCGAAGACCGAGAGCCCACAGGATCTACAGCTCATGAGTTCAGGCCGAGAGACTAAAAGAAATATATTATATTAATGACAGTTAGCAGAAATAGATTGAATTAAATACATTCACTGGATGAACAGTGATAACAGGAACAGACATCTTTGATCAGGACTTTAAAAAAAGAAAAAGATTGAAAAATAGAAGAAAGAAAGAGAGAGACAGAAAGAGAGGGAAACAAAGAAAGCTAAACATTTTGAGAAAATGTCAACTCATTTCAAATACCGGTAGTAATTATAATGAACATTTGTAATGTACCATGTCTGTCTTAAATTACACTCCTGGCACATATTTGGGTTGAGTACAAGGTTCTTTAATTGTTGACAAGGTACCTGCAGGAAATCACCAGTTTGATAACATTCTCAGAATATTGTGAAATAGAAAGTGTAAAGGGAAATCCCCTGGTAAACATTTGAAAGAAACCAATCATACGATCTTCTTCCTGTGCCACCTGAAGAAAAAAAAGGGAGGGGCTGACGGCTAACTCACTAAAACTCTCTGGAGGTGTATTCAATGCAAATCTTTCTGAGTTATCAATATTTTCTCATGCCTGGCCTGCTGTATTAGGCCATGGTAATATGGATATGCTTCAGCACCAGGTGTTCCACGGTCTGTTTCGAAGGTTATCCATTAACAGAATTTCAGCCCTGGACCCCTAACCCTAACCCTAAATCTACCCTAAAAATCTATTGCAACCCTAACCCTAGTCCACTGCCTGGACTGTTTCTGTGTCGAGCGCCCATTCAGCTGAGAGAAAGAAAAAAAAACTTCTGGGGGTCGCGCAATCTGTGTGGGATGCGTGTAAGGGAGAAGGACATAGATGATTGAAGAATAGAAAATATATATAAAATAGACGGAATCTGGACTACCCTAACCTTAACCCTATACCTTTGATGAAATAGAGCCAGAAGCAATAATCACCAGAGCAAATATGGTTTGGTTTGACCATTTGTTTTACCCGACTGCTAGGAAAGTATGTGTATGCTTGTAAGTAAGCAACAAGGGGACATACAGCTGTAAGTTCTCTCAGAGGGAATTCGGTAATGAAGATTAATGCCTCACCAAAGGGCACTAGCGCATTGACTTGGTTTAGAATCTGGGACCACCTGGTTAGGAGACCACTGCTCTACCACTGAGCCATCGTGCCTCCTTTATATTTGTTCACCATGCAGGCATAACATATAAGTATGATAATACCCCTAATGACGCAAATCCACTCACTCACATCAAACGTTTGTTATAAAGTCTACAGGCATGCTGTTAAAAAATACTGCGATAACAATGGAAAAACAGAGCTGAACTTTGTTCTGTAAATAGAACACTTGTTATTTCAATAAAAGAAACTATCATAATATTTGTTCTAACAGCATGATTTGATAAGTCTATACAATGAGACCCCATGCATATGCATATTGGTACAAGACTTGGCAACTCCCAAAAGCCTTGCCTTGATTGTATTATTGCGATTTATCACGCAATGCAATTTCATGTCGACCCACCGTATATAAATCCATATTTTTGATCTTAACAATTGTGCAAGTTACTTTACAAGAAAGGAGAGACTATTGTTTTGAGTATTTGATAGTCATTGAGCTGGAAGCCCGACTGCTGAGAACATAGCATTTTCCCAGAATCTCGGGTGAATTACGACCATAAATAAATGTGAAGTATAAAACTAAGTATTTCAAGGGAATAAAAGTTCCTTTCCCTTTTAAAAAGAATGTTATCTCTAGCTACGTCAATATTGAATATCCAGTAGTATTATTTACATTTTTCATTCAAGTTACTTTGGAGACACTTGTACAACAAAATAGTATCCTGATCTTGTGGTTAATTGCTTGTTTTCTTTAATAACAATACAGCTTTTTTCTTTGTACATCTAGTACAATTTCCATGTGTTATTTTTACTTTACTTTATTTGCCTTAAAATATCTAGAAATATACTCCACTCTCTAGGGTTCATTAAAAAGTGCTTGCACTATTTCAAACTTTATAGGAGGAAATTGAAGTATCTGCATACGGTAGCTTAAAATATAAGAAAAAATAGTACAAGTATAGTAAAAGTATAGAAATATACAAATTTGCAATCTAATTTTATTTTTTATAAATTTACTCAACCCACCCCCCCCCCCACATAAAAAATAAGAGAAACATCAAATTGAAATGAAAAAGTGACAAAGAAATAGCCACAATCAAACAATGCATGGAACCGTATGCTACTTCTAACAAGTAACATGCACATTATACATGCAACCTGTTCAAATTATTACACAATATAGATATTTTGTTAGGTGTATTCACAATCATGATAATTATGAAATATTCACAGAAAAGGTACATGATTCTGAATGTCAATGGATTAAAATAAATACAAGAATCTGAAGCTTAAAAGGGATTGCGTATCTTAACTATCTTTGCCTCAGACTCTAAAAAAAAATCCTAGATTTAGCTCATGCTGCAATTAATAATTTTAAACCTTTAGGTCAGTCAGGAGTCCCAAGACTTTTACAAGCCGTTCACCCATCTGATTATCAAGATATTTATGATTGGAATTAGAAGATTTAAAAACCTTTTTCCCAACGATTTGTTAACAATATACTATATTGGGAAAAATGAGTATGGTAAAACCGGACACTCAAAGATTTTTACTTTTTTGAGGCACTTCTTGATCATTTTGAAGCGCTTTTTTTTTGCGGGGGGGGGGGGGGGGGGGGGCTTCAATATTACACCATATCACAGGCACTGATAACCAAAGGGCCATGCATCTCAGATTTGTAAAACTGGAAACATTGTTAAGCAATGCTTATCAAGCTGGGCAGCATTCCATAAAACCGTCAAAAGTACAATTTTGCAGACAAATTTAACACATGTTTCAATGGGATGTCAGTGAACTTGTACATGTATATGTTTGACAGTTTCATGAAATGGTGCCCTGGTCTAAATCTAATTATGAAGAGGTTGGTATACATGGGCCACAGTCACCCTCCAATTAACTTCTGAATATATATATATATATATATATATACATTGTATCGCTAATGTGCAATCTTCATGTGTGCTTGAAAATTGAAATGAAATCTTTTTTTAAGAGAAGGTCAGTAATGGTATTTTGACCTGCTTACATTGAAAACTATGAGTTGAGCATCACAAGTAGGGGATATAGAGTGACTTAATTAGGGGCTGGATAAAGAGATATATGTGTTATGGTTCTGTGAGCAACTGGTTATATCTAAAAACCATCTCTGGTCAGATGGAACCAAAAGATGACCATGTTCATACAATCTAGTTTCTCCTCGTCTTCTTCCTTTTCCTTCCTCCTCCTCCTCTTCTTCCTTTTTCTTCCTCCTCCTTCTCTTCTTTTCCTTCCTCCTCCTCATCTTCCTTTTCCTTCCACCTCCTCTTCTTCCTTTTCCTTCCTCCTCCTCCTTTCCCCCTCCTCCTCCTTTCCCCCTCCTCCTTTACCCCCTCCTCCTCCTCCTCCTTCCTCCTTTACCCCCCCCCTCCTCCTCTCTTTCTCCTCCTCCTCCTCCTCTCCTCCTCCTCCTGTCTTTTCAACTCTTCTTCTTCAATTGATAGCATAAACTTGAAGAAAACATTTTATAACCCAGGGTCAGTTTTGCGGTAGGACTGAGCTTTTACTGGAAGCACCAGGAACCACCTGTGCAGAGGTATGCATGCCCTATTGAGAGTGCTCACCAGTGTGAAAATTCATTTCCTATTTGTGGGAGCTCTTTTAGGATTTGGTGTTGTATACAGACATGTGATTTTCTCACATTATATTTAAGTATTTTATTTTTTTATTTTTATAGATTACCAGAGCTAATTGGCTCACCGCTTCCATGCATTTCTTCATTTGTTGACTGCTCTCAAGATTAATTCTTACACTACTACATCAGGGATGCCAGTTAGAATTGATCAGAGGGCCTGAAAATCACCTAGAATGAGCTATTTTGTACACAAAAAAGCCTAAACTATGGTCTGAAAATACCTTGCCAGGGCCTGAATTCAGGCTATTGCCTGGAAACTTGCATCCCTGACATGTATATCTCATCATATGCAGGTTGTAGGCTACATTGCCTAACTTTTTCAACATCCACTTGACTTAAGTAGACAGTGACTAAAGACACCAAGTGGCAACTTATCAAAATTGAGCACAATTTTAACATAATTTTTCAACATTCATCAATCTAAGCTGACGTCAAACCGCAAGAGGATTGGAACCAGGCAGTGTGTGGATGCAGCGAGCAATTTGATTCCTATCTGGCTGTCGTCACAGTTACGATGAGAGCTAGTGGAGTGCAGTGGTATGAAGCCATCACTTCATCCAGATCGGCCCGCATCATAACACCATCTGGTCCTGGCCTGTTTGACAGCTTGTTCGGATCACATACAAAAAACGTATTAAGAAACATTGTATAAAGAAACGTCATATAAAGTAACGTCGCATAAAGTAACGTTGTATAAAGAATCATCATATAATGAAAGGAGCAAAACAATGTTGTAAAAAGAAACTGATATTGACGAGGTCAGTTGACACGACAGCTGGCCAATCATTAGTGCGTGCTCACGATAAGCCCTGCCCACTTGTACGATTTTCATACCCTACAACATTGAGACTAGAGCAGGACCTCGATTCTATATAGATTTTTCATTTGAAATTACGCTCGAACATACGTTTTTCTATAGGATGTTTCTTGATACAACATTCAGACTCGGACAAATTTCGTACAAGACTCGTATTGCTGCTATACGATGAATGCTGGAAGTCTGAACGCAAGGTGATA